AATTGCTCCAATATTCATTAGCAAGGGTTTCACAGGTTATGCAGGTCTATGAATGCAAGCGTGTGTTAATTTTTGACAAAATACAAGTGTTAGTGCAATCTCAAAAGGATAAGGTTTCTATTAGGCTTAAGCTTTTTATGAAAACAAATAATGCCTCTACTTTAGGCGATGGAAAATTTTATGATAGCTCTAAAATCAATTTCCAACGCCGACAATAAAATTGGAAACTCAAAAAATGGTACAGATCTTGTGGATTTATGAACACTTATTTTTAAAGAAAAATGGATGATCTAAGATAATTTATTACAATATATACTATTTTTATAGCTTGAAGTCCTAATTCTTTTTCACAACCACAATGTTCAAGTCAATATGATCAATATAAAGTTTTTCCAATGCTTGACTTGCAATTTTCGATAAGTTATGAAGTGAGGATTTATAAGGCTGCAGCCCTATCGAACCATTTTCATCTTAAAATTAGCCTTTTAGATAGGATGCATAGACAAAAGATGGGGGATGTTGTATTTTTTGTGAAATTACATACAACTTGATTTTAAGAAAAAGATACTGAAAGTGTCTCGACTTCTAAAAGGGTGTGGTTTGTACAGAGCCTAGGCTCTAAACAATCAAATTAGAGCCTACCCCCAAATAGTGTCAAGAAATGTGGTTTTAATACGGGAAATCTTTGTGATCGCCTTAAAATACGTTTTTATATTTATTTATAAAGTTTAATGCTTAAGAAATAGTGTAGATCAACAGATCAATGAAAACTTGAAAATCTTGAAAATTGACGGTCAAAAAATGCATTATAAAATGCACTATTTTCAAAACTTGAAATCCATTTTTTTCTCATGTCCATGCATCTTGATGACTAGATGATCAATTTGAAGATATATGCGTATTGAAACAATTTCTTCTAATGAAATTTTTGAGGTACGCTCATTTTTTATTGTTTAAAGTCTCGGCTCTTTATAAACTTTTCCCCTTCTAAAATGTCATTTATGGATATCATGACTTTGGTGTATTGGGACGTGCAAAAAGCCATCGACAAACAAGTTTTCATGCATAATTCACAAAAGTAAACAAGGAAATAGTATAAGTTGACCATATTGCTCTTAAATTTGAAATACATAACGAATCTTGGGCATCCTATACTATGTACTCATCGAATGGTGAGGACTTTAAATTTTTCCTTAACCTATCCAATGCCCGGGTAAAAAGGATGGGTTGTGTTAAATAGACAGTCAACGTAAAACTTTGTCAAAACTTATCATAAATCGCGAAGCGGACTAAGATTTGTGTAGCTGATCCCAATTAGTTGGGAAAAGACTTTGACAGTGATGATGATATGCTGATCCCTTGTTAATTTCTATTTCGTGCTACACGCATGTTCTTTTGGCAATGCCAAGCAATAACATCTCATGGTGAGTGTATTTCCATATTCGAGTTTTACAAAAATTGTTGGACCAAATCCCAAGTCAGGAGCCAAGCGATTCTGGTGTTTTTTGAGAACCCCGGAATCGCTTGTTTGTCCCTATTTTTCATAGTTTTTACTTCCTCGCATAAAAAATTACACAGTCCAACGCTGACTCCACCCCCAGGGGATAATGCTTGGGGCCCTATCAAGTCCATGCCGAGTTCGACTGTTTAAACACCATTATCTTCCCTCATAATGGTACATGGAGAGATCTATGCCATATTATTATGAATGGTCCATGAAATCTCAACCGTTCATCTCCGTCATATTGCATGGTTAATTCTTGACCCTAAATAATAACATCTCCATCACCATCCGTTTAGGAAAAGGATGCTTAAGATTCTATCTACCATAAGTGCAATATGCCTAGAGTATCGTACTTAATAATCAGTCTATAAAAATAACCCTAAATTCCTAGCTCTCCACATCATCCTACTTTCTTTAACCTTCATGCAAGCAGTACACTGCATGATCTTGTCAACCGTCCGTTTTTAAGTATGCATGATCTTGTCAACCGTCCGTTGTTAAGTATGAAAGGTTGAATTGAGCAGTTTCTGCGCCCGATGCCTGCTTGCTTTGAGGACTCTCACATCAACCATCAATCGTCGACAACAAACAGTTGAGATGACGACCATTTGCTGTTTGCTAACTGCTTCAATCATTTTATGCAATCGCTTTCCTTCCTTCCAAGCTTGTATTCTATATAAGAAAAAATTTATATAAGTTTGACACCTTAAATGTAGAATTAAGGTGCACCTTTACAATCCTTCCAAAAAAACGTTGTTTTGAAGTTGGAAAACATCTAATTGATCGTCTTGACTTCGAGATGTGTCGATCGGCTTGATAATGTATGGATTGGCTTGATTTGAACATCTAGTTGATCATCTTGACTTTGAGATGTATTGATCTCATCTCGACTTTAGACTATCCATTTCTAGGATTTTCATGGGGTTATAGATCAGCTTGATTTTGTACCATTTTAAAATTTTATAATTAAAGATAAAAATAGATACCCGTACTATTCTAGAATGTTTTACACCAAAATTACATCTCATGACAAACTTTGAGGTTTCACCTTAAATTAATTGTTTCAGGTTATAACCTTATTCAAACCACACCTTATATATATATATATATATATAATTTCGTCTACCTTCAGTACCATCCAAACTTTATTTCACGGTCACAGTTGTTCAGTAATGTTTCGATATTTTTTTTTTTTACTGATCAGAATGATCTGAAATTT